TGCTGCTTGGCCTGCTGTGTTCATCCAGCCCTGCACCTTGTTGTCTCGGATTCTCCAGCATCTGCAGTTCCTACTATCTCTGGTAAGGATGAGGTCAGGTATGTTTTTCCCTCATGTTGGTTCCCTCACCACCTGCCGTAGACCCAGTCTAGCAATTATGTCCTTTAGGACCCGACCAGCTTGATCAGTAGTACTGCTGCCGAGCCATTCTTGGTCGTGGATATTGAAATCCCCCACCCAGAGTACATTATGTGCCCTTGCCATCCTCAGTGCTTCCTCTAAGTGTTGTTCAACATTGAGGAGTACTGATTCATCAGCTGAGGGAGGATGCTACGTGGTAATCAGCAGGAGGTTTCCTTGCCCATGTTTAACCTGAAGCCATAAGACTTCATGGGGTCCGGAGTCAATGTTAAGGACTCCTAGAGCAACACCCTCCTGACTGTATACCACCATCACCACCTCTGCTGGGTCTGTCCTGCTAGTGAGACAGGACATATCCAGGGATGGTGATGGTGGTAAGAAGGTGTAGAGCTGGATGAACACAGCAGGCCAGGCAGCATCAGAAGAGCAGGAAAGCTGACGTTTTGGGTCTGTACCCTTCTTCCGAAAGAAGATCTGTCCTTCCTGGACCTCTGTTTCCATCTCTGGCAACCACCTGGAAACCGATATCTATTTCAAGCCTACTGACTCCCACAGCTACCTAGAATACACCTCCTCTCACCCACCTTCCTGCAAGAATACCATCCCCTATTCCCAATTCCTTCGCTTCCACCGCATCTGCTCCCAAGATGAGGCATTCCACTCCCAGACATCCCAGATGTCCTCATTTTTCAAGGAGCGCAACTTCCCTTCCGCAGTGATCAAAAGTGCCCTCGACCGCATCTCTCACGTTTCCCGCAACTCATCCCTCACACCCCTCCCCGCAATAACAACAAAGACAGAATCCCCCTCGTCCTCACATACCACCCCACCAACCTCTGGATTCAACGCATCATCCTCCGTCACTTCCGCAACTGGCAATCTGACCCCACTACCTAGAACATTTTTCCCTCCCCACCCTTATCTGCCTTCCAGAGGGATCGCTCTCTCCGTGACTCCCTTGTCTGCTCCACACTCCCCACTAGCCCCACCACCCCTGGCACTTTTCCCTGCAACCACAGGAAGTGCTACACCTGCCTCTACACCTCACCCTCATCCCAGGCCCCAAGAAAACCTTCCACATTAAACAGATGTTCACCTGCACATCTGCTAATGTGGTATACTGTGTCCGCTGTTCCCGATGTGGCCTCCTCTACATCAGGGAAACCAAGCAGAGGCTTGGAGACCGCTTTGTGGAACACCTACGCTCGGTTCATGACAAACGACTGCACCTCCCAGTCGCGAACCACTTCAACTCCCCCTCCCACTCCTTGGACAACATGTCCATCCTGAGCCTCCTCCAGTGCCACAACGATGCCACCCGAAGGTTGCAGGAACAGTACCTCATATTTCGCTTGGGAACCCTGCAGCCCAATGGTATCAATGTGGACTTCACAAGCTTCAAAATTTCCCCACCCCCGACCTCATCCCAAAACCAGCCCAGCTCGTCCCCACCTCGTTGACCTGTCTGTCTTTTCTCCCACCTATCCACTCCTCCCACCTCACTGACCAACTCCCACCTCCACCTCCTACCTGCCAGTCTCATCCCCGCCTCCTTGACCTGTCAGTCTTCCCTTGACTTACCAACCCCCATCCTACTCCCCACCTACACTCACCTTTACTGGCTCCATCCCCGCTTCCTTGACCTGTCCGTCTCCTCTCCACCTATCTGCTCCTTTATCCACCTTCCATATGCTTCTCCACCTCTCTATTTATTTCAGACACCCCTTTCCCTCCCCCATTTCTGAAGAAGGGTCCAGACCCAAAACGTCAGCCTTCCTGCTCCTCTGATGCTGCCTGGCCTGCTGTGTTCATCCAGCTCTACACCTTGTTATCTCACATTCTCCAGCATCGGCAGTTCCTACTATCTCATGGTGATGGCAATGTCTGGGACATTGTCTCTAAGGTATAATTCTGTGAGTATGACTATGTCAGGCTGTTACTTAACTAGTCTGTGAGACAGCTCTCCCAGTTTTGGGACTAACCCCCCGATGTTAGTGAGGAGGGCTTTGCAGGGTTCGAGAGGGCCGTTTCTGCCTTTTCTGGTGCCTGGGTCAATGCAAGGTGATATTGTCCTTGACCGCTGAAGTGTTCCCTGACTGGGAGACTACCCGGCCTACAGGACAACATTGACCACAACATTACTCAACCCTGCCACAGCAACCTCTACAAGACATGTCAGATCATCAACATGAATATTACCATCACACACGGTAACACCACCCACCACGTATTTGGCAGATACTCATATGACTTGACCAATGTTGACTACCTCATATGCTGTAGGCAAGGATGCCCTGAGGCCCAGTATATTTGTGAGACCGTGTAGATGCTACGACAACGGAAGAATGGACACCATGCAACAATCGTCAGATAGGAATGTTCACTCCCAGTCAGCGAACATTTCAGCGGTCAAGGACATTCAGCCTTCGATCTTTGGGTAAAGCGTCCTCCAAGGCTGCCTTCAAGATACGTAACAGTGCAGAATCACCACGCAGAAACTGATAGCCAAGTTCCATACCCATGAAGATGACCTCAAACATGATCTCGGGTTCATGTTGTGCTCTTCACTTCACCAGACGAAGGAGCAGTGCTCCGAAAGCTTGTGATTTCAAATAAATAACCTGCTGACTTGTGACTTCTGACCTTATTTATTTTTGACCTTGTGTTTGTGTTCTGCAAGATGCAAATACTCAGCTGCCAGTTATCCTTGAGTGCTTTACCCAAATATTCACACAAGTCTTTGAGTGTAAGTAAGCTGTTCAATCACAAAGGGCATCACAATGAACTCTAACACTGCCCTCAATCAACACTCTTGAGCACTTCCAGCAGGGTAACTGGATAGTGGTCAGGAGCAACAACTCTGGGTGCATTTCCTCCCCCTGCAAGTAAAGCCAGTTACATAAGTGTGGTATCTAAGAGTAACTAACTTAAATTAGTCTTGATATCAAAGTTTGGGACCTTCTGGTCTGTACACTTGAGTTTGCGTCACCAGCTTTGTAACAATGGGGAGCTGCTATTATGATTCCTCTAGGATAAATTCTTGATGTTGAATGATGTTGAGTGTGTGTTTATATAAAATATGTGTGTTCTGCATGAAATCGGTCAAACTCTTTATGGGCTGCTTTTCGTGTTTCCTTTTTCTGCCTCTGAAACTGAAACTCAGCTATCATTAATGCAGCATATACCAGATCTCCCAGTTTATTTGAGAAGAGGGTAATTATCAATTACTTATTTTTGAAAAAGTTTTGCACGTTTACAATTTCACCTCCAGCTCCCTTCTGATGACGTGGATGCACTCCATGGCTTGGTCTTTCCTCCATTATCTCATTCGAGATCAGGCCTGGCACTGACAGAAACTGTGAAGCCCATTGCTACGTCTGCAACAAAACCTTGATATTTCCACTGCCACCCAAGCCCTAGGTTTGCCCTTCCTAGTATACACATGCAGACATTAGGAGGCAGTGCAGGGGCCAGATTCCTGGTTTATTTCACTCAATTGTCTCTTCCATTTTCAAATCTCTAAGACCATAAAATGAGAACAGGACAATGGCCTGGACTAAAGATGGTTATGTCCATGAAAGCTGTCAGAGTGAGAAAGTCCAGTAGAATCTGCCTCTTCCTGTAGTTTCTCATCTGCTCAAGACCATGGCCAACTGAAACTTAAGTGGCCTTCTACTTGCTAATAGATATTGTGCTGGGATCCAGCCATGAATGGATAAATAACACAGAACCACATGGGAAGATGTTTAAAAAGAAATCCCGTCCTGTGTACTGTTTTCCTTTTTGATGCTGAGGCTGAAATCTGGAACATTGGCTTCAGCTAGGAAAGCCAATCCAGTGTTGCACCAAGATTCAAAGGTAGACCTCCCATGATATCTGTAGTTTGGCGGGGGAGGGGGATGGTCAGTAGAGGTCAGTACAAGAGTGAACAATAAGCGGGCTGGTGTGTTTCCCTGATTTTAGTAGGAAGCTTGGAGAGTCAGGATTTCTACCAAAGTTTAGGCAGGAGAACCCATGGAAATTCCAAATATTCCAGTTTTCCCATTTTTGGATAAAGTCATGATGAACAACAAGTAGCATTTTGAATAGTGCAGTGAGTTGACCAGTGGATCTGGACACTAAACTACCAGTGCACTTGAAGAAGGATTTCTCCATTCAACCTCTGACAGGAGCCCCAGGCTGGCAAGCAACTCATTCTATCAGGTAGGAGGCAGTTTAGGCAGGGAAGAGGACAAGCAAAGTGGTTTGAGTATACCTTTGTGTGGGAGTGAAAGAAAAAAGCAAATTTGGAATTGATTGGAGTTCTAACCAGCATTTTCTTCTGGCCTTGATGTCTGTTTTGTTTTTGTATGTTCCATTTTTTTTGACAGTTTGAAGTGTAAGAGGGAGAGGGTGAGGAGCTCCAGTCCTCATACTGAGACAATGGATTAACCTGGAACAACACCATGGTGTAGAACACAGTGCCCTTACAGGGTGACCATTCACTAACTCCCAGCCGGTTCAAATTTGCATGGCCTGTTGCCTTGTGCCTCTCAGCTCTTTTCTAAGCTTTCTCAGCTCACACAAGGCAGAACTTTTCATGGTGTGGATTCAGGCTGATGCTGCTATTTAAGGGAGAGCACATACCTTTCTTATCTATTGCTTGTACTGGATTAATTTCACCTCAGACTCACTCGAGAATCAAAATTTTCTGGACTGCTGAATACTTGACAGGATCAGAAAAAGTCTCCTACGTGATAGACCTCATGCTGTTGATTTGAAAGGCCAAAAGCATACTTCATAACTGTACATGGACAAGAATTGGTTTTAAGATAAGCACCGGTGTTAAAATTCTTCAGGAATAACAGAAGAAACCAAGAACTTCCAAAAAAGGAAGACAACCTGAAATTGTTTCGAGTAGGCAGAGTGGTCTTTGAGTGCCATCTGGTGTTAGCAAAGCTGAATTGCTATATGTCAAAAGCTTTGCTAAAATTTCTTTGGTTTCCACTAAATCTGTGATCCTTATTTCATAAATGTTTAATTTAGCCCTGATTGTTAGAGTGCTTTTGCATTATGTATTATGTTCATGTGATGCTTGGTTCTCTAAGATATGATTATGTGATCAAAGTGATGTTTTTAATTGCAGGGTTATCTATTAGCTAGTAAAAATAATTCAACTCCATCTTTATTAAAGCAGAGTTCTTGAGAGCCAAGTATTTTGCATGTTGCAACAAGGTATGAGTTGTAATAATTGTCCTTCAGTACAGCACAGAAGAGAGTCAGATATTTGAGGAGGGGCTGCTTCATCCTGCATCACTTTAAATGTTTTAAACGGCTGCCTGTTTCCATTGACAAATCTTCTAAAATAAAATCTGTGCAAATGATTGGCATGATGTAACTACAAAATAAAACATGACAGAAATTGGGCAACTTCCCACGCCAGTTTTGCTACCAGCAGTAGAAATGTGTCAAGGTTTATGTATTCAGTGAAATGTCTGAGTTGGAATCCATAATCGACAAGTTTTACAATGAATTGATTTGGAAAAAGTAATTTGCTGCCACATTTGTGGTGTGTTTTCTTGAAGATATACAAATATAAATGTGTTTGAACTGTGACGAGTCTATCGCTGTGCTTCTTCCCTCCCACCTGTGGCCTACACCTGCATTGCTTCTTTGTTTAGATGCCTGCGGCTCATGTTAACTGCATCAGCACTACTCACATTTCTACTGCACATATGTTGCTTCTCCCTTTTAAAAAAGCTGTAAATGTAGGGGAAAAGGAGAAACAGTTTGTTTGGAATTACTTATATTTTCCCTGCATGTTTCCCCATCTCACCAATTTAACATTTAGATTTGAAAATGTTTTGACAAAGTGAGTGAATCCTGTTCTATAATTTTATTTTTGACAGTGATTTTGGAACAACATTGTGCAAGGAGATGTGTTTTATTTAGGAATTCAACCAACCTGAATCTCTGTACAGTATGAAAACGAGTGCAGTGTGACAATCATGCTATTTAGTATCATTTTAATCTTTGAACTCTTTCGTGTTTAATAAGTATTCTATATGAAATGGACCAAAGTTTTAAAAGGAACACCTTATTCAAGAAATGTCTGACAGTCCTATTTCATTAACTTATAGACATGCATTTTCATGGAACATGTCCTTTCATCGTATCATTTGAATCTGTGCTATCACTGTCATGAAAATGATGCATGATTCTACAAGTTGCTATCCACAAATTAAAAAGAAGTATTGTTGAATTTTTTTCTTGGAAACTGAAACCCCTTTTGCAGTTATGCAAAATAATAATATAAATTAATTGAGAAACTGTGATTCATCATAATGCCATACACTGTTAGATTCTTGTAGTAAGATTACAAGATAGAATGATTTCTAGTTGGATTTTCAACTGTTGGTCATGCACTAGGAATTAATTATTTTGTTACCTGACGCATTAATAATTCCAGATTGAGAGATCCATAGAAAGTCTGTGTGAAAAAAATTCCTTTGTTCTATGTGTTGAAGTATTTTAGCGTTTCAGATTGGACTGTTGGGCCTAAGGAAAACAGTAGCATTTGAAGAGCTCTGATGCTCTATCTCTCACTCCATCTTCTCTCACTCTCAATTTCCCTCACTCTTCTTTCCCTCAGTCACTCATTACAAATACAGGGAGCAGATTGCCTAAGCTGCCACAAAAATACCAACTCCTCTGACAGGGTTTTGATTGGAACCACCTAAAGCTGTTACTCTCTGTCTAATAGAAATCTACAATAGTCATTAGGAGTTGTATCCCCTTTTGCAGTTATTGTGATCCAACTGTGATAAAGTCATGTGTCGATCAAACAAATCAATTGATTTTCTCTTTTGGGCCTGAGGTGTCTAAAATCTCTGCTTTGTAGAAATATATTTCTTTCATTGCCACAGGTTAAGTGCATCATTGAATGCAGAAACTTTTCAATCTATTACTGTTCCAACCTTTCAGGAGAAGGTGAAATTAGAAAAGAAAATTTAAATTGCTAAGCTTTCTTGAGAATTAACTGGTTGAGTCACTCGTGCCTCAACTCCATATTTTTGGACATAATACCAACATTATCGAGTTAAACTTCAGCACCACCACCAATAGACCTCAGAAGTACTCACCATATACTGTCTTTCCTACCTGACACAGGCTTCAGTGCCATACAGAAGAGGAATTGGCAAATGGCTTTCTGTAGTTCTGCTGTTAGAGGTTCAGGCTTCAATGTTAAGCCCTCTTTCTAACCATAGAATATTTGCTTGACAAGGCCAATCCAGAAATAAACTAGATTCACAAATTTCAGTACCTTTATTACCTGAGAATTCACTATGGCATCAGTATAGAATACTACAGAACGAGAGAAAATGAGGAGCACTTAATGTGCAGGAGGAGGACGAATTATACATTTTTTAATTCGTTCATGGGGTGAGGGTGTCACTGGCCAGGCAGTATTTACTGCCCATGAAAAAGAGTCAACCACATTGCTGTGGGTCTGCAGTTACATGTAGGCCAGACCAGGTAAAGATGGCAGTTTCTGTCCCCCTAAAGGATATTAGTGAACCAGATGGGCTCTCCCCCAACAATCAACAGGGGATTCATGGTAATCATTAGACTCTTAATTCCAGATATTTTATTGAGTTCAAATTCCACCATCTGCCATGGTGGGATTTGAACCCAGGTTGCCAGAACATTATCTGGGTCTCTAGGTTAACAGTCTAGTGACAATACCAGAAGGCCATTGCCTCATCTAGTCTTGATTATGAATTGAAATATGTTTGATCACTCAATTGTTGAGTTGGCTTTTATCCCACATCTGGATGCTGTACCATTCCAGAGAGAAGTCATTTATGGCTGCTCACAATCACCAAGATTTCTTCTACAATCATAAAATGAGAATATGACTAGTTTTTTTTCCCCAGGTTTCTATATGGCTGGACAGATGGTACCACTTCTGGTAACTAGTCTAAGAAACTACATAAATTGCTGACTGCAGATTCCGGATAAGCTCTGGATACCCTAGCATTTCACAAGCGGTTTAGGAGGAAGCAAGTACCCTTTGTTATGTTTTGTACCCTGGGTTCCATTACATTGGTACCAGTCATTACTATGTCTCCATGTGTGACAGTCTATCCAACATTACAAAAGAATCTGCCTTGTCCATTCTTTTATTAAGACCACTTTTGCAACACCAACATCCCTACCTCTCTTTTACTGCTGGCAGGATTTTCATCAATGTCTGTTATCACAATAAAATTTTACCTCTCATGCACCAATGCCCCACCCCCTTCCATAACCACCATTTTGTATCCATTGGAAACATCATTCCTTCACAATGATTTTGTTTCCATACAAAATATTGCACTTCCAGCCTTCTTGTGACCCAGCAAACTGAATTCAAACTCTCAGAATCAAACGATACCATATCATCACTCCAATCCAATCCTACAGCTTTTTTCAGATACAATTCCTCACATGATCGCAAAACTCTTCTATTCATTGCTTGCTCCTCTGCTATTGTTGGCCTGTTTCTGATTGATTGGTACAGCTGGTGAGTAATCATTTTCATTCCTGCTTTTTATTTCGTTCCATACGGGAAAACAAAGCAACCTGTGCGTTAAACTCGTCATGAAACATTGTTACACTTTAATATATAATAAACGTTTACATTCGAACGACAATATCTTAAAGTAATGCAGTGTCAGGCCCTTGGGCGTCCAGGCAGTGACAACACCTTAGTGTGGGTTTGCTCAGATCTGAAGACGGCCAGAATGATGTTATTTTAACACAACACTGCGCTATTAATCGGACAATTTATTAGTGTTTCACCTTTCTCTCATCAAAGACATATTCAGCTGGTTTCATGAAACTACATTGAATTCAGCACGTTTACCTTAAATCACACCATCTGTAATCTCGAGAGGAGATTTCAGGAATTTAGTTTTACAAAGACGACGTTTTTGCAGTTCCACCATAATCCATGTTAAGTACGTCAAAATCATTCTACATTTGTAAGGTCGCTCATTCTCTCTCCTTTTTTTATTTTCCAGTACACAGCTCTCGATAAAGAAAGTCAGATATTCAGTGGTAAGCCCCACCGAGATATTGAAGGAGTTGGTCCGGAGCAAACGGCTCAGACGTCCTCGGGCGCGGATGCTTCTATGTCTGGCCTCATGACCATATCCCCCACACCATCCTGAGCGAGTCTTGTCCGTCCCGCACCCCGTTCCCCAGTCTGTGCATGCCCTGCAGACCTGGGACAGCCGCACTTCAAGGAATTAAAAATATCCAGCTTTCTAGAAACTATGGCTTGTAAGAAAAACAGTATCGATTTAAAACATCTAAACATTTAAAAGAAAAGCCACGGCTGAATCAATTTTAAACGGACGTGCTTGGAAAGTGTTGGTTTTTGTGTCAAAATGTGCTCTGCTGCCCTCCTGTAGCCCGAAGTGTGTTCGCGTGAGGCAGGATGTCAGCAGCTGAGAGTGAGATTGAACGCTGTCCTCTGCAAAGGGTTGGTATTGGATTGAGGTGCTGCGTGACTGTACTGCAACACTTGTACTTCTCAACCCCAGTTTTCATTTGACTTGAGAGCTAAGCACCATGCTCATCCGATCTTAACGTTGCTACCTACCTAGTATGGGATGTAGAAACAAGTTGCGTGCTCGAAATCGTGATCAAATCAAATGTTAAATTAAAATTAAATCAAACGTTGTTGTTTCTGTACTCTGATTCCGAAAAACCTTCCCATCTCACGATAATGGCCGATTCTCCCAAAACAGAAAAGTGCTTTTTCTTTAGTATTTTGTTTTCAAGGGATGTCAGATCAGGAGAACTGCCACCAAATGTCAGGGTCGTCAGTTTAAAGAGAGGCTAATAGGCACAGAGCTGACTGAAGTTGGTCACTTGATTTGTGGCGGCACCTTGGGAATTAATTTTCCTAATAAGCGAATGTGGTGATAGCACATCAATAGAGAACCGCTGGTTCTATGTTGGAAAATACAGTAATTGCTTCAGTTAATTTTAGCCAAGCAGGCTTTCTAATTGAGAGAAAGAGCCCAACTGTCTTTTAAGTGTAAATGATTTCTCTAATTGATGAATAGGAAATGGTGGTAAACCCTCGGCATTGCAAGTATCACCAGACTAACCGCCAGATTGATGAAAGAAATTTTACTTATTCTCCAGGACGGACTAACCAGCGGAGAAATGGAGCATTTGTAAAATTGCAGTACCTGGACCAAGTGGTGTGGCCCGAATGTATCCCTGCACTTTAGGTCTCCTAACAGCCCCAGGAGTGGCATTTGTGCTGTCTGCAGCCTTTCTTGACTCCGCTTGCTTCCCATAGACTCATTTGTAGGATGGCGAGATCTTCCATTCAAGTGAAGGTGTAAGCAGTAAAACCGGCGTGCAAGTAATTGTGTTCGAGATCCCGGAAATCATGTCTGTGGACAAATTCCAACCGACAGCACTACTAATACATCTCAAAAGTTTCCGAGGTCCCTGCTGAATCAGCTCATCCTGAGGTGTGGGGAACGTTGCAATTCATTTCAACCTCAGACCGCTGTTAAATCTGAAAGACGAGAGGATTGTAATTGAGTGCCATGTCCAAGCACAGTCATAAGAATCTGTCGATGTTGACTGTCCACGTTACACCTGAGGAATGATCTCGTTACCTCAGGGTGTGGTAACCTGGA